GTTTTTATTGAAATCGAGAATATTAGACGTGACAATTGACAAATTTAATTACATAATCTTCCTCTATGATCATGTTTAGTGCTATCTAAATTCATCTTACATTATATTTCTGGACAATGGAAAGACAAGAAGTATACAAACAGAATTTGATAGGATTTTCACTTCATCAATTTTAATATTGTCGATGGTGTCACAAATAAAATCGACTCCAAATTTATATATTAGTCCAATCTTGAAGCAATAAAAAATAATTCAACTCCCTCTTCCTTTGCATTGGACTGAGATGTGAATTGCTCGTTAACTGTTTAGTCACTGCAACATTTTATCTTGCATTACTCTTATGTTTCTTGCCACTGCTTAAAGTTTGAACTAACACTGAGAAATTTTGGATTGACCATATGTGCTTTTTTGGCTATTTCATTTGGTTTAGAAGTAACTCTTTCGTTAATAACTAATCAAATATATCTTGTTAATTTTTATAAATTAGCTTGCTAATCAAAAATATTGGTAGCAGTCATTGTAGTGGTAGTGGTAGTGGTAGTGGTAGTGGTGGTAGCAGTGGTTGTGGTACTGGTAGTGATAGTGATAGTGATAGTAGTAATTGAGGTAGTGTTAGTGATAGTAGTGATGGTGGTGGTAGTACTTGTAGTGATAGTGATAGTAGTGATGGTGGTGGGGGTTGTGGTTGTGGTTGTGGTTGTCGTGGTAGTGGTAGTGGTAGTGGTAGTGGTAGTGGTAGTCGTTGAGGCTGTGGTCGTTGTAATGGTGGTGGTGGTAGTTGAGGTTGTGGTAGTGGTAGTGGTAGTGGTAGTGGTAGTGATAGTAGTGGATGTGGTCGTTGTGGTAGTGATAGTGATAGTGATTGTGATGGTAGTGATAGTTGTGGTAGTGGTTGTGATTGTGATTGTGGTGGTAGTGGTAGTGGTTGTAGTATTGGTAGTTGTGGTAGTGGTGGAGGTGGGGGTGATAGTTGTGGTAGTGGTAGTATTGATAGTAGTGGTAGGTGTGGTAGTGGTAGGTGTGATTGTGGTGGTGGTTGTAGTGGTAGAGGTAGTGTTAGTGGTAGTGGTAGTGTTAGTGTTAGTGTTAGTGATAGTGATAGTGATAGTAGTGATAGTATCATAGTGGGGGTGATGGTATGGGTGATTGATAGTAATAACTAATAATAATAATAATAATAATAATAATACAACTATAACATTATATAAAACACAAAAACAACAACAAAAATATAGAAGTGTAATAATAATAATAATAATAATAATAATAATAATAATATTTAAACAACTATAACAATATATAAAACAAAAAAACAACAACAAAAATATAGAAGTGTATAGAACAAAAAACAAGACACGAGGTGCAACCACTTCAAAGCTGTTTCCATTATATATATATATATATATAGCAATTCCCAGTTTTCGAAAGACCAAACCCTTTGGATAGATATTTTTGAAAAATCAATGAATTTTTTATTTTTGTTGTTTGGAGTGTGAATAATAATGGCAGATCCTGTTTTGATAAGCATTGTTTCATAATACTCACGAGATTTTTTGATGTTTGAAGGGAGAAATGGAAATTTGGAGGGGAAAAATCTTGAAGGTGTTCTTCAAGAGAAGATATTCTTTGAGCCATGATGTTTCCATTTCGAAAACAGGAAGGTAAACGGGTTTTGTAAAATATGAGAATGATTTTGGAAGGTTAATGTCTGGTAATTTTCCAGAACCAATTTGAAGGGCTTTGCGATAATTTGAAGGTTTATTTTTTGGAATTGTTTGAATGGGATTTTGGAACGTTTTTTAAGCGAGGGTTGTATTTTGAGAACTAGAGGATGTTTCTTTTGATCCTCTAAAAAAATTTTGAATATAATCATCAATTGATGTAAGGGGAATTTGAACTTTCTTTTTGTTCTTCTTCTTTTCTAAAGAACTCATTTTTCACTCACTTCTTTATGTATGAATTCTCTTGTAAGGAAATCTACAAGAAAGTTTGAAGAACCATGTATATTTAGAATTTGAAAATCAAAGCAAGAAAGAATTGTTTGCCATCTTGCAACAACCTATTTTGAAACAAGGTTTTTTACATCTTTTTGTAAAACATTATTTGAAGCTTTACAACCAGTTTTGAGAATAAAATTTTTATTAATAAGATCGTCTTGAAATTTTGAAATCAGAAGGATGATTGCAAGAATCTTCTTTTTGATAGTGGAATAATTCTTTTGAGAACCAGTCCAAATATCGGAGTGAAATCTGATTAATTGTTCTTGCCTTGATTTGAAAGGAATCTGTTTGAGGACACCACCATACCCAAGGTCTGACGCGTCTGTCTCCACAATAATAGAGGCAGTGGGGTCAAGAATTGAAAGACATGGGATGCTTTTGATTGTTTTTTTGATTTTTTGGACCGCTAGGGTACACTCGTGATTCCAAGGGTCAGGTTTCTTTTGCAATCTTTTGAAAAGAGGAGCACAAAGGATTCTAATCTCTTACATAATTGACAAAACTAAAAAAATCTTTGAAGGCTATTTTTGTCTAGAATTTCATCAGGAAATTTGTCAGTAAAATCTAGACTTCTTTGAATTGGTGTAAGTGTTCCTAGATGAATTGTATGACCAAGGAACCTTATCTTATTTTAACATAAAACTTTCTTAGCTAAAACAGCTAAACCATTTTGTTTTACAATATGAATGAATGTATGCAAATGTCTGAAATGTTGTTCTAAGCTTTCAGAAAAGATTAAAACATCATTAATGTAAATAATAATGAAATTTTGAAATGGATTGAAAAATCATTCATAATTTTTTGAAATTCAGAAGGAGTATTTTTTAGATCAAAAGGCATAACATTCCATTTGTATTGTCCGAAAGGAACATTAAANGAAATTCAGAAGGAGCATTTTTGAGATCAAAAGGCATAACTTTCCATTCGTATTGTCCGAAAGGAACATTAAAAGCTGTTTTGTATTTATCTTCTTCTTTAATTTGAATTTGCCAAAATCTTGACTTCATATCAAATTTGGAGAAGATGACAACTTTGAATAATTTGTTTAACAGATCTTTTTTTTTTTTATGTAATGGATAACGAATCCATTGAAGAGCAGAGTTGAGAAGTTTATAATTGATAACTAAACGAGGAACTCCTCATTCAATTTCCGCAGAGTTATTGACATAAAAGGCTAAACAGCTCCAAGGCGATTTGCTTGGCCTAATTAGCTTCTTATCAAGAAGGTCTTGAATTTCTTTTGTACAATGATCAAGGAGATCTTTGTTCATTTGAATAGAACGAGATTTAGTAGGAATATTTGATTCATAAAAATCAGATGTATAAGGAAGAGAAACAACATGTTTCTTTCTATTCCAAAATGCATTAGGAATAGTTGAACATATTTCTTTCTCTATACACTTTTGAAAATCTGAAATTTTTTGAACGATGGAAGATTGTTGTAATTGTTCTTCAATTCATTGAAATTTAATTTCTTCTGAGATATCTAATATGATTTTTCTTAAAATTAATATTATTGACAATTTTTGAAATAGAGGCTTCTTTCAACATATTAACATCTTTGAAAGATGGAGGATTTGTAAATTTAAAGACAAGTTCTAGTCGATTTGTAAATTTAAAGACAAGTTCTAGTCCAAAAATTATAGTGGTTAATCATTTTGAATTAACTTGAAAATGATAAATTTGAACAATAAAAGGAGTACCAAGAATTACTTCTTGATCCAAATCTTTGACGAGATAAAAAAATTTTTTGAAGCAAATGTTTGAATTACAAACATGAACTTTTGAAAGTTTATATTGAATATTGAGTTTTTTACCACTGGCTCCGTACAATCGCTCAATAGTTTTTTCAACATATTTCATAGGAATAAGTCATTCCCTAATACAATTTTGATCAGCTCCAGAATCAATTAAAACTCGAAAAAAAAGTTTGAATTCTTTGTTGACAACAATAGTCATATTACAATGCCATTTTTGAAGTTGAATTCGGTTAATAACATTAACATTTTCTTCTTCAATTTGAGGATGATTGCTAGAATGAGATTTTTTAGAATGAAAACTCTTGGAACTGGAATTTGACTCAAAATTTGGATGAAAAGCATGAGAAGTTCAGATGATGAGGATAAATTTTCAAAATCTTTGATTTTAAGATGAACAACTTCCATCTTAACATCT